GTTGACAGGTTGACCTTATTCTGGATAGGAACAAACAGACCAAACTCTATTCAAGAGCCATTGGAACTATTTAATCCATGTTAGCCCATTTAATTGTCAGCCAGATCCTTCTTTACTCAGCTACTTCTCTCCAGAACTGTATTTGATCTTAACATATACCAGGTATTTTAAAATTATTTTCTTTTTGGCCAACAACATACTACTACTTCTAATAAAACTATGTCGTGTACTGTAAAAATCTAAATTACTAGTCTCAGTAGGTTACTAGTAAAAGAAAGTACAGTGTTACAACCACTAAACCCTAATAGTCCAGAGTATTTTGCCTCCCAGCAGCCACTCTAGAATGTTATATGCCTATGGGATAATAAAAAAGTAAGCAATAAAATAAGCAATAAAAATAAACAATAAAAAGATAGCAGATTCAGACTTGTTACAATAGGAACATATTTTTCCTTTATAAAAACTCATCATAAGATGTGATTATTGAGAAAGTATTAATATACGATCATAACATTCTAAAATCATATTTCTAAAGCCAAAGTATAATTAATCTTTTTTTAAAATGAAAAATATGCTTTTGAAAATCATTTGGCATTCATTGATCATAAGCTTCTGATATGTTTTAATCCACATTTTTAATTTTTTTTTAAAAAAATCTTCATATGGATCTCAATTATTCTTTTATTGTTTCTTGTAAGGAGAATTATTAAAGCAAGGAGAAAGATATATCTCTTTTGGGCATGTGTATGTGTTTGTGTATATGTTCATTTAAATGTGGAAGGCTACAAAATGTGAAAGTCTACAAAATGTTTACTGCCTTTCATAACTGTTGCAGCTAGTTGTAGATTATATACACACAAATTCACATGCACACACATAATACATATTCATATACATGTATATGTATAGTATGCACAAAGTTTGATGTGGTGATGCAACAAAATGGAGCCTCTATAATCTGTAAATTGCAGATGTTATCTCTGCAACAGTTTATAATTTTACTCATATTTTAAACTCTACTTACACTTTTTTGTGTGTCAAGGGAGTACAAATGATGCCTTTAGATCATGTACACTGAAATAAACTGTTCATAACTTCTATATTAGCGTCAGTATGAGTGCATATTCTGATGGACTATAAGATTCTTGATTTTCAAGAATTTGATTTTCAAGAACTTAATTTTCAAGTTCAATTCATATCATATCCTGGAAATAAGTCTTTAGATCTTGGGTTTCTCTGTGCTAAAAATGCAGGTGTTAAATCAAATGTCAAGGGGTTCTTATAAAACTTGTCCTGGAATCAATTCAGATGAGGCTAAGAATTTCTTTGTGAATGGCTGTTACTTTGGAGTAATTATATCTATTCTTTCTGGATTTTCTGAATGCATTCTTAATAGACAATACATATGCATAAACACACCCATACCCACACACAGAAATATATGTTTAGCATCTATTATTTTGAGAGTCAAAAAAAGAAATAACATTAATTGCTTAAAATGCTGAACTAAAATGCTGAACAGCTTTGAGGTTGCATTTTTGAAAGTTTATTTATCTTGATTTCAGCCTAGACTGTCAATTAGTCTAGTCTAGTCTAGTCCATTATGTATTAAATTTTGCCCGTTTCAGTTAACTAAGAATGAAACAATGGAAGTGTAAAATATAAATAAAATTAGTCTTTTTAAATAATAAGATAAACTTATGAACATATCAGCTTTACATACTGAAATGGAGGTAGTTCTTGGTTAATGGCCATTCATTCAGAGACCATTCCAAATTAGTGCTGAACAAGTGGTACTTACTACCAGTCCATCCCAGCATATCATGGTTATGTGATCGCAACATGGGCCCTTGGCCACCAGCTCGCACTTATCACCATTTATGAAGTTCCATGTTGGCTTCCCCTGAAGCTAAATCAATGGGAAAGCCCACAGGGAAGGATGTAAGTTGCTCTGTTAAGTTTTCTGAGTAGCAGCAGCCACCACCAGCTTCACTGGGCTTGTGCTGGACCTCATCAATCACCCACACACTCTCCCCCATCCTGCAGCAGCCACTTACCTGCCTGCTGGCCTGTTTGTAAGCCACCTTGGACTTATAACTTCCTGCCAGCTTCCCCACTGACTTTCCCTGTTGGAAACTAGCAGAAAGTTGTGAGAAGGTTTTTGCTTAACAATTTATGATCCTTGCCTAATGCTGGGATTGCCTTTGATAAGTGATGCATTGACACCACACTTTACAACAGCATTGTTTAGCAATGGAAATTCCAATTACCATCACTGAGCAAAGATTACCTGTATAGGTAGAATAAATCTGGCAGTGAGTTAAGTATATATTCTTCGATTTTTATAAAAAAATGATTTGATTCTTACTGTATGTCATTTTTAGACTCTTGAAGAATATTGAACTTTTTTCAGTTCATATTTATTACTTTCATAATTCATTACCCCTAAGATGTGAAAGACTTGGTGGGTACAGCTATGTGTGCATACAAATACACATACCCCAAATCTTCAGGACCTCAAAGCAGCTGAGAAATGTAAGGTTGAGAGATTACCTCGTATCATTGGTCTATGTATTTTATCCCCCAGTAGGAAGGGCAGAAGAAAATGATCTCAGAATAGCAATTTCATCTACAATGAACATGCTACATAATAGATAGATACAAACAAAATAGTTAATTCTTTATCTATTCCTTAATAAGGCTTTGTGGCCAGTTGGTTGCTATACTGGACCAGCAGTACCATTCAATTTAGATCTCAAACAGTTTTTCAGACTTTACAGTGTTACCTAGAATGCTGGATCTCCAGATCATATTCACCTAACTCAACTGACCATGATTACACGATTGGCCAAGATTAGCTAAGTTAGCTAGCTTATCAAAGCCAGGCAGTTTTTTTTCCATTGCCATTTATTTTTTCAAGAATATGCCCATATATCAACATAGAAATTTTAACATTCTGTTTTGCACATGGATAAAACTACTTTATATAAATGAAGGGAAATAAATTCAGACTTTATCAGACCTATTCTTTTAGTGTTACAGAAGTATAAATATTTACGTATTTTTCTTTACTGCACATTACTGGGCTATCATAATAGTTCTTTCCAATTCAGCCAGAAAATGCATGGGATTTGGGAAGGGGTGGGTGGCTTAAATGGTTACACTGCAATAAAACATGACAAACCATTTTACAAGTGTGAAAATATTAGCTACAATTGTATAGCTTACAGATAGTATGATACTTTGGTACAGTAGTGGTCAATATTCTCTACATGATTAGCTGATTATTTAATCCTTCCTAGTCAGCAGCTGAGAATTTCTGGTGATACTAGTTGTATAAGCTAATTATGTAACTTTTGCCATTGAATGGGTGGGTCTTGTACTTTCCCTTTTTCTTGCCCCCTTAAGAGGACTGCTGTTCATGACAGAGGTGCATGAACAGTTCATCAAGAATTAACCTGTGGATTTGTATAAATAATTTAGAATACATATCCATTACAGAAATACTTCAAAGGGGTGGTAGAATTCCAATACCTGACTAAAAAGGTTTGTCAGTAAAGTCCCTATTTTTATTGACTGGAGTTGACATGAATGAAATTTGAAAGCATCAAGTATACTTGCATCCAGAGAGCTGTTCTGAGTGCCACTTTTCCAGCAAGTGGACTATGCTCTTTGCCTCTGTGCCAAAGAACAAGTTATTGCTGAAACATAGGGCAAAGACACCCCATTACTTTCACACACTGGATGTAAATAAATGTATCCAACCCTATTCAGCATTTGATATCAATATCTAGACAATAAGAATTATATATTATCCAGTACTGTGGTTATTTCACAACTGGAAGTATATTCATGAACTGAATTGTCTAGACTTTCTCTCATAAAATATTGTGCAAGCCACTGCTGAGATGTGGAATAAAAATAATAGCGTGTACTAACAAAATGCTAGGAAATTGTTTCCAGGATTATGCATTGGAGCCAGACAGTTTCAGTTGTGAAAGTAATTATCAGCAAAGATTTTCAGCAAAGACAAAATTGAGATAATCTTTGTGGAACCACACGCTTCTAATGGCATTTCCAATACTATTCTGGAATTAATATTGTATTATTTGGACTAGTTTTTCAACAGACTGCAACTGGGAGGAGGAATTTGTAAAAATGTGCATTATATCCTAATTGTCAACATTAGAATTCTTAGTCAAACCATACTGCTGATATTCATAGGAATGTTTTTTTTAAATAATCCCGAGTCATCCATTTTCTGCTTTCTTCATTTTGAACTTTTATGTTACAAAAATAAAAGATGACAGTGAAGGTTTGAAGGTCCTGAGAATTGTAGCTCAGAATTAACAAATGTGAGATATTAAAAATATTTCAAACATAGTTATGAGATTATGCAGCCTTATAATTGGTAATGGCACTCGAAGAGAAAAACATCCTTTTCCTACCAATTAGGCTTTCAACTTTATTTCAGTAATCTTGAAAAGAGAGTTATACATGCTAACATTTGCAGAGATTTGAACTTTCTTTACATGCATTCTATTTTAAGGATGGCCTGAAATTTGGCTTTGCATGCAAACACTGCAAAATTAGAACATTTTCCTCCCTCCTCTTTCCCCAATAAAAAAGAATGGAGCCCAAGAATTAGGGCAATTTTTTTTTCTTTTTATTTTGTGTTCTAACAGAACTTTAGTCAAACATTAAGTATGCGTTTTGAACAGTTGACAGTTCCTTTACTGTTTCTCAAACAGAGCTGTTTATAGAAAAAGAATCACTTGGGTGGAATGTTTCTCAAGCCATTAATGGCTTTTTTCATCTGTTTTGTGTCATTTCCTCAAAACAATTCTGTCATTTCTTTCTGAACAATATGCCAAAGCATTATAAGAAAATCTTTACTTTAAGTAGCATGAATATCAAATAGTATCTATTAATTCCTGAATCATGCTATTCAAAGTGCTTCAATCTACATTAAAACAGAGGACAAAAGTGTTCCTTGTGAGGAAAAAAAAAAAAAAAAAGAATACCATCCAGCTAGAATCTACAGTGTGACTGTGGTCAGATTGCAATGTTTTACATTACTTCACAAACAAAATGTAGATTAAAAATTTCAAAGAGAAAGCAGTTGCATCTTTTGTTAGTTATTTGAAGTTCTCAGATTTGGAATTTTATCAATAGTGATTAATTCCACTAGTGCCTGGCTGGTGTCTATAACCAGTAATAACTATTTTAAATTTTCAGAGAGTGGACTTTCAAAGAATGTGAACTTTCAAATCCTAGCTGACAGCATTAAATGCTTGGTGTGATTTTATTTTGCACATGTCCACATTTTTTCTTTTTTATGTGGTAAAGGTAGAGACCAGCAAAATAGCAAACTACTAGAAAAAGACTTGAGTGAACAGTCACAGAAATGAATATTGCTAGTTAAATTATATCAAAATACATCCTATACATTTTAATTCAGCTTTCAGATGTTTTCTTGACTAGCTTTATTATAATACCAGTAATTTTTCATGTACCAATGGAACCCACACATCTGGGTTTTAGGTTAAAATTAATTGATAACATCTTATTTGACCTAAAATATAGGCCTTTTTTATGATGACAGTCAAAATAAATGCACAATACATCCATTATATTGACTATGTATTGTTATGTAGAAAACTCTCTCCTTTTCTTTCTAATGAAGAAAAAGATCTGCAGTTTCACGTGATTGTTGCTGTTAAATTGTGGCATTTTTGAATGCAAAATTAAAAATGTTATATTCTCCTCTAGCATGTTAATTATTATCAGTAATCCACTACATCAATTTATGTTGTAAGAAATGTGCTCTACTAGTCTAATGCTATAGTAATTATGTAATCTATTGTTGGCTACCTTCTTATATGAAAGGTGGCTGTTGCATTGGTAAGTGGAAATATGAATAGTAGTGCTCATTCTGTTAACAGTAGTGAATGACGAGTTAAATCTGTTAATATTTATGACAAATTCTTATTGAATCCATATAGACAAAGTTCAGTCCTTAGATTTATGCAGAAATAATTGCAAAGCCAAAATACATGCTTTTTCTTTCTTTAAAGATGAAATAATACATTTAAAATAAAACTAGTTTATTTTATTCAATAACATTATTTCCAACATTTCTCTTTCTGATTTAAATATTAATATTTTATAAAATATTGATGTTTGTTGGTATTTACTTTTTGCAACCTCCTGAGATCTCCTTTAAACAACCTTGGAATTAAAAAATGTAGTGTTATTACAAGCTTAAGAAAAGATAATAATGAATAATAAAGAATGCTAAATTCTGGATGTATCAGTGAAAAGAAAAGGTGATGACCAAACTTGAATATACATATGTTTCAAACTTGTTGAAAAAGTATGTTCCATATTTCTTAAAAGACAGCATTTTATGTAATACAATGTGATAAACCATTTTTGATATTGTCCTTCTATTTTAATTTGGTTTGGAAGCCATCATTGGAAATCTCTCCAGGATTTAATGGACTTCAGTGCCTACTGCCTTACTTGCTTGGCAGATGTCAATAATCTCATTTGAAGAATGTAAAGAAGAAAAGAAACCATTGATTTCAAGCAAACAGACAAACAAAATAGGTAGTAGGAATTACAACACATACAACACTTTCCCAGGAAGTGAATGAATTAGAGTTGGCATGTTATTTCTATATAAAATGAATACAAACAACTCATAAAATCAAACAGAAAAATCTATTATTCTTTCTATAGATTCCATAGTGGTTATAGTGGTTATTGTGAAGCAAGTAATACAGACTGGATTTTTTTTTTTTGCTGTTCACAACTATTTACTACGTGAAATATTAGACAATTAGACCATCTTTAATTTCACTCAGTGTGCTGCTTTAAAAAGGTGAGGGGAAAAGGGCAGAGTGTAGCAGTGTGATAAAAACATGAAGAAAGGATTATGAAACATTTGTGGGGATCTCCCAAGAACAAGTGTTTTCACACATATACATGCATGCACACAGGCACCTGTGTGCATGCACACACATACACACACACATACGCACACACATACACACAGACAGACAATGGTGAATTGCTGCAAGCATGACTCTGGGTATTGGCCTAGGCAGACCAAGAAAATGGATACTGCTTCTAGATTAAAAACAGTTTTATCCAAGCATTCCCCAAAAATGTTTAAAATGCACACACAAACTATACTAATGAAGAAAAAAAATTCCTATCTATACAGCAGTCTCTCCATTTCTCTCTTTTTTTAAAAAAAAATGTAAATATACAAATCTTAATGACATATAAAACAAAGTCAATGTGTGGATGGTAAAGACATGGGTAAAACAGGAAGACTGATGCTACAAAGAAATTTGCAAAACCATATGTACAAGACCCTGTTTTTCCTCATATTTCATAGATTGTAATGCATGTTTAACAGCAGCAGTCGAGGATGTAGTTCCAGGCACCAGACTGCAGACCTTGCTTCTGATCAAGGGAGGTGATTTCCCCCTTGCACTGATGTCACCAAATGACACTGGAGATACTAGTTTCCCGTGGTAAGAGGGGCAGGATTGCACTGTTTGTATGAGCCTCGTCAGGATTCTGCTCTCGGTTAGTTTTTGTCTGTGGCCTCTGTCCATTAATAAGTGTCATTGGGATGTTGCAATAAGTATGCTGGTTACCTATTGAGGTAAGAGGCAGGGTGCCAGTAGGAGGTACGTCGTATTCATAGCTTCGATAATAGTGTTTCTGACGCATCTGTGAATGATATGTGTTATGAAAAGTGGAACGCAGATCAGGGTGGGCAGTGGCAAGAGCAGTGGAGGTAGCAGCAGCCATTGAAATTGCTGAGACCGTCTGCAGTTCCCCAAAGGGCCCCTGCTCACTAACATCTAAAACCTGCTCGTGGGTAATAGGTTCTATCCTCTTAAAAGGCATTTCATACTGTAAACGTTTCCAGAATTTGGAATTCAACTTGTTGCATTTTGGTCCATGCCATTTAATAACAGTTAGAAGCTTGATGGTATGTTTCAGTGCCTCAACTTCCTGGTAGTTCATAATTCCTCGGAGTTCACTGCATTCAATGAGGATCACTTTAATTTCTCCTGTAATGAGCATGTTCCTAAGTCTGGTTTCCAATTCAAAGATGCTCCAACCTCTTCTGACCACATAATTTGGAGTCATGACAATTATCAGTCGCTTGCTTTGGTCTACACATCTTGCCACGTCTTCTATGTAGGCTGATAAGCAAAAGAGCAACTCAAGATCAGAAAAAATCTCTATGCCAGGACTGTGAACTGTAAGCATATCTTAAATAAGTACTATTAATTTACATCTTAAAAAGCATTCAATGTAAATATTGAAAGATCTATTCACATGTTCATCTCTGTTAAAGAGGTATTGTTCCTCTTTAAACCCATTCAGAATAGGAGAAGAATATGAAAAAAAATAGCTCCCTCTGGAGCTGTGTGTAAAAACTGCTAGCAAAGTTGTCTTTCCCCCCTTTCCAGGAAAACAGAGAGCAACCTTCTCTGAATGAAGAATATAAAGAAATATTTCCTTTTTACTTCCTGGAAGAGGGAAATCAGTACTTCGGGTAAATTTAATTAAAAAAACATAAGGAAAGAGCCAATGTTTCTACAATACATATTTATTTTTATAGAATATGTCCTATCCAGATTTTTATTTTTATTTAATTGCATGCAGATGGACCTATTTTTCCACTTTTGGAATATAACTCAGTGGATTCCTTGGTGGCAGCCTAATGCAATCTAATTTCATCATTTCACCAAAATTGCATGTTATATCTCTGCAAACTGCAAGGGCAAAAAGGATATCTTTATTTAACTGGAACTGTTGAATCCTGTCTGATGTACACTTTCAGTGGGTGGTGTCTATGAGATAATCGGTTTTATTGAGGAAAGGTGAATTTGGTCTAAGTTGTCAATGGAAAAAGATGACTATAAAAAGATTGTCTAATAGCTTTATATTTAAGAGTAAAGCAACTGATGAAAATGTGTCATGCTACAGTAAGTTGCTATTAATCCAAAGACATTTTCTCTTGTGTGCTATATTTCTTGATAGTCTCCATCATTTCAGGCTTCAAAGAGGACTCTCACAACTGAATATTTTCAATAAGAAGTATATTTCCACTTAATAAAGAATACAAATTAGGTATAAAGGATACAGATCTATTTATGGGCTGACCTTTCAGCTAGCTTTTAATCTCCAATGGATGTTTGTGGTAATGGCAACATAGGAAACCATTCAAACACCATCTTGCACAATCTCTATATATTCTAGAACTATATTAATTTAGTTCTAGAATATATCTAATTCTAGAATACAACTAGAATATACAGTGGGGCAAAAAAGTATTTAGTCAGCCACCAATTGTGCAAGTTCTCCCACTTAAAAAGATGAGAGAGGCCTGTAATTGTCATCATAGGTAGACTTCAACTATGAGAGACAAAATGAGAAAACAAATCCAGACAATCACATTGTCTGATTTGGAAAGAATTTATTTGCAAATTATGGTGGAAAATAAGTATTCGGTCAATATCAAAAGTTCATCTCAATACTTTGTTATATATCCTTTGTTGGCAATGACAGAGGTCAAACGTTTTCTGTAAATCTTCACAAGGTTGGCACACACTGTTGCTGGTATGTTGGCCCATTCCTCCATTCAGATCTCCTCTAGAGCAGTGATGTTTTGGGGCTGTCGCTGGGCAACATGGACTTTCAACTCCCTCCAAAGGTTTTCCATGGGGTTGAGATCTGGAGATTGGCTAGGCCACTCCAGGACCTTGAAATGCTTCTTACAAAGCCACTCCTTCATTGCCTGGGAGGTGTGTTTGGGATCATTGTCATGCTGAAAGACCCAGCCATGTTTCATCTTCAATGCCCTTGCTGATGGAAGGAGGTTTGCACTCAAAATCTCACGATACATGGCCCCATTCATTCTTTCTTGTTCACGGATCAGTCGTCCTAGTCCCTTTTCAGAGAAACAGCCCCAAAACATGATGTTGCCACCCCCATGCTTCACAGTAGTATGGTGTTTGGATGCAACTCAGCATTCTCTCTCCTCCAAACGCAACAAGTTGTGTTTCTACCAAACAGTTCTACTTTGGTTTCATCTGACCATAGGACATTCTCCCAATCCTCTTTTGGATCATCCAAATGTTCTCTTCAGACATGCCCAGACATGTACTGGCTTAAGCAGGGGGACACATCTGCACTGCAGGATCTGAGTCCCTGGTGGCGTAGTATGTTACTGATGGTTGCTTTTGTTACGTTGGTCCCAGCTCTCTGCAGGTCATTCACTAGGTCCCCCCGTGTGGTTCTGGGATTTTTGCTCACCGTTCTTGTGATCATGTTGACCCCACAGGGTGAGATCTTGCATGGAGCCCCAGATCGAGGGAGATTATCAGTGATATTATATGTCTTCCATTTTCTAATTATTGCTCCCACATTTGATTTCTTCACACCAAGCTGCTTGTCTATTGCAGATTCAGTCTTCCCAGCCTGGTGCAGGTCTACAATTTTGTTTCTGGTGTCCTTCGACAGCTCTTTGGTCTTCACCATAGTGGAGTTTGGAATGTGACTGTTTGAGGTTGTGGACAGGTGACTTTTATACTGATAACAAGTTCAAACAGGTGCCATTAATACAGGTAATGAGTGGAGGACAGAGGAGCCTCTTAAAGAAGAAGTTACAGGTCTGTGAGAGCCAGAAATCTCGCTTGTTTGTAGGTGACCAAATACTTATTTTCCACCATAATTTGCAAATCAGACAATGTGATTGTCTGGATTTGTTTTCTCATTTTGTCTCTCATAGTTGAGGTCTACCTATGATAACAATTACAGACCTCTCTTATCTTTTTAAGTGGGAGAACTTGCACAATTGGTGGCTGACTAAATACTTTTTTGCTCCACTGTATAGTCAATTCTAGAAAACTGACGACTTGGTCTGATTTGTTGCTCCAGTTGGTTTTACTGCTGTTAAAAATATATGGAAGATTTTATTCTTGTACGTGCAAGAAGATATAAGACAAATTTTATTTAAACACTTTTAAGTAGGCTAGACACTTTTTAGTTAGGCTGTTAACTTAGCTAATATATGCAATGAACTTTTCAAAGAACATTTAATTCTGTTACTATATATCCTATCTTATGTTAATAAAAGTTAGCATATTATACATATAGTTATTGTATACAGTGCTTATTATTTTTAGTGTTAGTACCATAGTACTTATTATGAATATGCTTTGATTATTTATTTTAATGGAATGTATAATAAACAGCATTAGAACAGTATCACATTAAAATGTACCTAAACAGCATGTGCTATGCAAAATGAGTCTATGTACATAAGTGTGTGTGTTTAAAAACTTACTTCCAGTTGGAATTAAATCTCTGTCAGGAATGAATAATTTGTACCCATAATGCTTTTCAAGCATATCTGGTAAGATCTCAAGAGCAAATCGTTCTTCTTCCCCAGTTTCCTGATTCCATTGGTCAGGATCCACTTTGGTATATGACAAATAGGCATCATAATCTTTGTTATCTGTAAATATAAAGGGACAGAGAAGAGAGACAGTTGAAAAAGAAGATAGATTTTATTTCATATTGATTTACCGAAGTCCCTATTTTATATGTCCATTTATATTATTCTGATATATTTCTTTTTTATTCTTCATCTTTTCTATTTGGCCATATATTACTAAGTAGCTGCTTGTGCTCCATTTTCTCTATAGTATTTTCATAATTAAAAAAGCCTTTTTTTCTAGATTTCCATTTCAAATTGAAAACTAGATTCTTTTTTCATTTCTCTACCTACAGCCTTCATAAAACATTTGCGATATTCATAGCAGCTTCAGCATTTTAATCTAACTAAGATCCTAATGTATGTTATTGCCTTGGGGCTTAAGAAATGCAGTCAAACAGACAACATCAAAAGTGACAAACACATGCCCATTTGAAACTATAGGAAAAAAGAATTAATTTTCACAATGTGCCTTGGAAAATTTCTCTGAAAACAAGTGGGGGTGGGGAGAGAGAGGGGGAGGGGGGGAGGGAGGGGAGGGAGGGAGAGAGGGAGAGAGAGAGAGAGAGAGAGAGAGAGAGAGAGAGAGAGAGAGAGAGAGAGAGAGAATCATCACAGAAACATATTAAGTAAATAATTTCTCTGCCATTCAAGACCATTACTACCAACTCTATGAAAAGAGAGGAAGATAGGTAGCTGCCACAACAGAAGATTAGTTGAATCCCTCTTTCCCCCTCCTCTCTCTCTTAACTGATTGAGTGATCTCCACCAACTGATTTATGGGAGTCATGCCAGAAATGTTTTTGTTTTTTAAAATACTGTATTTTCCCCACAAATGTTTATATTATCAAATAGAATAGAGCTGGAAAAGACCTTGGAGGTCCTCTACTCCAGCCCCCTATACCATTTCAGACAATGACTGTCCAGCCTCTTCTTAAAAACCTCCCAGTGATGAAGCACCCACAACTTCTGAAGGCAAGTTGTTCCATTGGTTAATTGCTCTCACTTTCTAAGAAGTTTCTGCTTAATTCCAGGTTGTTTCTCTCTTTAATCAGTTTCCATCCATGTTTCTTATTCTGGTGCTTTGAAAAATAAGTTGACCCCCTCTTATATACTGGAATATTGTTATCATGTCACCTTAGTCTTTCTTTTCTCTAGACTACCAAAGCCAAATCCTGCAACCATTCTTCATATGTTTTAGTCTCCAGGCCTTTAATTATCTTAGTTGCTCTTTGCATTTTTTCCAAAGTCTCAACATCTTTTTTGTAATGTGGTATCTAAAACTAGATGCAGTATTCCAGGTATGGTTTTACTAAGGTTTTATAAAGTAGTACTAATACTTCACATGATTTTGATTCTCTACTTCTGTTTATACAACCAAGGATTGTATTAGCTTTTTTGACATGTTGGCTCATGTTTAAGTGATTGTCCACTCAGACTCCAAGATCCCTGTTTTTCAGCCAGGTTTTGCCTAATCTGTACTTGTACCTTTGATTTTTACTGCCTATGTATAAAATCTTGCTTTTTGTCAACATTAAAATTCATTTTGTTGGATAGAGCCCATTGTTCAAGTCTGTCAAGATCTTTTTGGATCCTGAGTTTGTCTTCTAGTGTGTTGGCTATTCTAGTGTGTTGGCTATTGCAGTCTAGTGTCATCTGCAAATTTCATGAGTTACTCTCCTATTCCCTTGTCTAAGTCATTTATGAAGATATTGAAGAGTACTAGGTCTAAGACGTAACCTTGTGCTACTCCACTGCTTACTTCCCTCCATGTAGATGTAGTGCCATTAAGGACTACTCATTGAGTTCAATTTGTCAGCAAGTTACAAATCCATCTGGTGGAGATGCTGTCGTTTTTCTAGCTAACCAAGTACTTTGTTGAATGACTTACTGAAATCTAAGTATACTATGTCCACTGCATTCTGCTAGTCAACTAATTTTAGTCACTTTCAAAGAATGAAATAAGACTGGTTTGGTAAGATCTGTTTTTAACAAACCTGTACTGACTTCTAGTTATAACTTTATTTGTTTCTAGATGTTTGCAGATCTGTTTTTTGATTATCTTTTCCAGTATCTTGCCAGGTATAGATGTTAGGCTGATTGGTCTGTAATTTCCTAGGTTTGTCCCCCCCCTTTTTTTGAAGATGGGAACCACATCAGCTCTTTTCCAATCCTCAGGTAATTCCCCAGTGCTCCAGGATTTTTGAAAGATATGGTACAATGGTTCTGAGATAACATCTGCCAGCTCCTTCAGAAATCTGGGATGTAATCTGTCAGGTCCCAGTGATTTACACACATGTGTTTTCTTGATTTTTGTTGTTGTTAATATGTTGAAAAAAAACTTTTTTTAAAATTATCTTTCACTTTTTTTGCAAGTCTTTGTTCATTCTGAGCCTTTGCTTTCCTGACTTCATCTTTTTAGATTCTGGCTACTTGCTGATACTTTGCCTTAGTTATGTGTCCCTCTTTCCATTTTTTGTTCTTGTCCTTTTTGCCTTTCAGTTTATCAAAGAGATGGTTTCTTATTTTTCTTTTTGAGGGGCATTGTGCTGGACTGGGCTTTTATGATCATATTTTTAGAATTTCCCATGCTTCTTGAGTTGTTTTCTCCTTTAAGATTTCATCCATGGAATCTTTCCTAGGCTTTCTCTGAGTTTGTTAAAATCAGCTCTTTCAAAGTTTAAAACATTGGTTGGATTATGTTCTATTGCTTGTGTTTGCATTATATTGAATTCCGAAATGACGTAGTCACTTTTGCCAAAGGTTCCCACAACTTCAATTCCCTTTATCACTTCTTCTCTATTAGTAAGAATTAAGTCCAGTACAGCTCCTCTAGTTCCCTCCTCTATCTTTTGGATGACAATGTTCTCAGCTAAGTTGGTTAGGAAGCTGTCGGATCTCCCACTTACTGCAGAGTTTGTCTCCCAGTTTATATCAGGGTAGTTAAAGTCTCCCATTATTATTCTGGTATGTTTTCTACATACATTTGTTAATTGATTAGCAAAGAGTTCATCTATTTCTCTTGCTTGGTTGGGTGGCCTGTAGTATACTCCTATAGAAATGTCATTCTTTTTTCCTTTTATATTGACCCATATGAATTCTAATTTTTTAAATCTTTGATCATGTGTATTTCTATAGATATGTAGAAACTCTTACATATAGTGCAACTCCACTTCCTCTTTTTGTAGATCTGTTTCTTTTGAACAGAAATATTTTTGAATATTAATTTAAATCCTATTGGAAAGATTGTTCCAATCAATGGGATAGCATCTTTAAAACTGTCACAACAGTTTTCTTGAAATACATGCTCTGTAATTTTATAAATGAAATGTAGTAATAAAACAATTAATAATTTTTTAAAAAAATCTCAATAATTTTTAAAAAATATACCCTAAATTTACATACTATACTAATAGTATTTGTCCACACATGTGAGTAAGAATATATCTTTTGGAATGTTTGGATATTTTCTTCTAAATATAGCACCATCTGAAAATCCAATTTTTGTGGATAGAAGTTGGTGTGAAGGAACTTAATCTAGAAAGTCTATGGAGAATCTCAGTGATCCATGTCATGGTTGTTCCAAAGGTGCTTTTTAAAGAGGCAACTGGGCTTTCTTGTTTTTCTTTGAAGACATTTCACTTCTCACCGAAGAATCTTCTTCATCTCAGAGCTTCTTGAATGAGAAGTGAAATGTCTTCAAAGAAAAATAAGAAAGTCCAGTTGCCTCTTGAAAAAGTACCTTTGGGTTAATCTAGAAAGGTAACTTATAATGTGTCACATAAATTCATTTCATAAATGGAACAATAAATAGGATGTCAAAAGTCATGAATATCATAATTGTTTTTTTTAATTCAACTTTAAATTGACTCAATTCATTGTATGAAAGAGACTTGTTTTGTACATAATGGTATTTCTCCTCTAATTTAATTTATACAATACTTTCAATACATGCATTTGGTGTACTAGCCTGTAAGAGTGAATGAAGGCAACCATCATTAATTTTCATTAAAGGGTCAATAATGCCAAATATTCTGAAACTAATTCAGTAGTAAATAAGGTCACATTCTGATTTTTGTTGTGAAAAAAAGAGGACAAATCAATGACAAGAGCAAGGAAATGTTTACATTAAGGCTCCAGGTAGTATTTGCAGTTGTTCCTAAAAGAAACTGGTTGAATATCCTACTATAAGCAATGTTACACTATTTCAGTGCTTAGTAACAGGACATATTTTTCTGTCTTCTATTTTACACCTACGGTCACAGCTGTTAAAAATAAAGCATGTCAGCTCAAGCAGTGCTTCTGGTTGGCCATTTCACTTGTCTGTAAAAGGAAATTCTATAAACTTTTTCTTCCTTTGCTGGCAAGAGCACAAAATCCACAAATTTCTGGAGGCAAGAATGATAGGGATTGGTAATAAAAAAAACATTATATGCTTATCTCCAAGTAACAGACATCTTTGAAAGTTTTACACAGTAAAATTCTGGACCCAGTGCTCTTCAACATCTTCATCAATGATTTGGATGAGAGGATAGATGGGGAATTCATCAAATTTGCAGACGACACCAAGCTGGTAGGAATAGCCAACACTCCAGAAGACAGGCTGAGATACAGAGGGATCTTGACAGACTTGAACATTGGGTGCTATCTAACAAAATTCAATGGTGAAAAAAGTAAGGTTCTATATTTACGCAAGAAAAACCAAATGCTCAGGTATAGTATAGGTGGTACCTTGCTTCAAAAACAGTAGTACTAACAAACAATACAATCTTACTGCCAGGCAAAATATATTAAAATATTTTTATGGTTTAAACCTTTGTATTCTATCTTGAATGGTAGAATACAATATATAGGCTATACAATATATAGCCCTCTCAAGTCAATTACTTGTGCGCACAGGCTTTAATGTACAAGCTATTAGTTAAACAATATATTAGATCATAAAAGAATATGTGAGTAACTATAGACTTACAATAAACTATAAAATAATTAGTATTAAAAAACAAAAAAACAAAAAATAA